GGCCAGGCTGGCTTTCTCTTGTGCTCCGCCCCTTCCCTCCCTCCTGAAAACCTGCCACACTTTCTAAGTCTCGAGTCTCCTCTCACTCTTCGCCCTTTTCTGCCTTCTCTGATCCTCTAAATTCTCAGTCTTCGCCTCCTCCAGCTCCCCAATCCAGCCCCTCCCCCCTTTCTTTTCACCTCCTAGTCACCACACCAGCTCTCCTCTTCTCCATCCCTTTAGGGAAATGGCGGGGACTGAAGGAGTAGGTAGAGTCCATGTTCCTTTCTCTCCCTCTGGTCTCTCCCAGATTGAAAAGCATTTTGGCTCTTTCACTAACAGTCCCACCACCTACACCAAAAAAATTCGTTATCTTACCCAAGCCTATGACCTTACAAGTCATTATTTACATGTTATCTTCTCTTCCACCCTAACCTCTCACAAAAGGAAACTTGTTTTAGGTCCGCCCAAGACCATGCAGATCAGATCCATTTGACTGACACAACCATGCCCCCAGGTTTTGAAGCAGTTCCCCGCCCAGAGCCAGGGTGGGACTACCAGACTGACAGACACGGCCCGCCCACCCCAGGGCAGAGCTCACCAAGAACGGTCCTCAAACCCCTATCCAGGATCTGCTGAATATGGCCTTTACGGTATTTAACAACTGGGAGGAACGGGATAGGGCAGAGAGGGAACTCTGTAGTTGCCAGAGGCTGAGCTTCAAGCTCAGGCCCTAGTAGCAGCCTTAAGACCGCCAGGCCCGGCTCCTCCAACGACCGCAGCACCTGCTGCCCGACAGAGGACGGCAATGGGCCCCAACCGACCGCCACCAGGAGCCTGCTTCAAACGTGGCCGAGAAGGCCACCGGTTCCCAACCCCCGCCCTCCGCCAGGACCGTGCCCCATCTGCAACGTCCAGGGTCACTGGAAAAGTGACTGTCCCTGCACGCCTGGCTGTGGTGGGCCAGTCCTTCCAGCCCCTGCAACTCTTGCCACCAGCTGTCTTGGGTTTGGCGGCTGAGGACTGAAGAGGCCCGGATTCATCGACTCCGATAACCTTCGAGGAGCCCAGGGTAACGGTCAAGGTAGCAGGTGAGTCCATCTCCTTTCTGGTTGGCACGGGGGCTACCTTCTCTGTCCTCCCCTCCTAATCCGGTCAAGTTTATCCTTCTTAGGCCTCGGTTACGGGTGCTGACGGCCTTCCTTCTCAGCCCAGGACCACTGGTCCGCTCTTTCCTAGTCATGCCTTCTTGCCCCACACCACTCCTGGGTCGCGACCTCCTGACCAAACTCAGGGCTACTCTCCCATGGTTCCAAGACCCTAGCGCTGCTCTCATCCTCCCACGGCTCCAAACATCTCCTGATCCTCCTCAGGACTCCCCGCTGTCTCCTCCCACTGTCAACCCCTGGTCTGAAATATCTCTACCCCAGTTGTTGCCACCCATCATACCCCAGTCCTCATTCGCCTTAAGGATCCCTCTTCTTTTCCCTCTCGCCCCCAGTTTCCAATCTCCCTCACTCACTATCAGGGTCTCAAACCCATCGTTCAATGACTCCTGAGAAAGGGACTCCTCACTCCTAGCAACCCGCCCTGTAATACTCCCATCCTCCCAGTTAAAAAGCCTGACGGTTCTTATTGCCTAGTGCGAGACCTTCACCTAATTAACGAGGCGGTGGTGCCTACCCATCCCGGAGTGCCAACCCCGACACCCTCCTATCTCATATACCGTCTTCTACCACACGCTTCTCTGTACTTGACCTCAAAGATGCTTTCTTTACCTTCCCTCTGGATCCTCAAGGTTACTTCCTATTTGCTTTTACTTGGGAAGATCCGGACACACACACCTCCCAGCAAATGGCCTGGACAGTCCTGCCTCAGGGGTTCCGGGACAGCCCTCATCTGTTTGGTCAGGCATGAGCTAGTGATCTCTCGTCATGTCATACTCCACCCCGCACTCTCCTGCACGATGTTGCTGACCTCCTCCTCTGCAGACCTTCTCTGCCACAATCTCAGCAACACACTGCACAACTCCTGAAAAGGATACAGTGTCTCCCAACTTTCGGTTCCCACAGCATCTATCTGGGTCTTTGACTAACTCCTTCCTCCAAATAGCTGATGGTGGGCAGCAAACAGGGCATCAGGGACCTTCCCTCCTCTGAATCTGCACCTTCCTAGGTTTGGTTGGATTCTTCCATCTTGGATCCCTAATTTTGCTTTCCTAGCCAAGCCACTGTACGACACAGCAAAAGCCTCCCCCAAAGGATGTCTTCAATCCCCAGGGAGGTCCTCAGGGCCTTCCTTTTACTCACACATATCCTCCTTAGGGCACCTGCCCTTGGCCTTCCTCATCCAGAAAAGCCTTTCCTCCTGTGCACAGACGCACGTCGGGGTATGGCGGCAGGCGGCCTTTCCCAGCCTCTGGGCCCAGCCCTAAGCGTCCTGTCGCTTATCTCTCCAAGCAGATGGATCCCACCGACAGGGGCTGGCAACCTCGCCTTAGAGCCCTGGTGGCAGCAGCTCTACTCACCCGGGAACCCCTCAAACTTACCCTGGGAAGACCTGTCCAAGCACATTTCTCGCACCGCCTTCAGGCCCTCCTGTCTCCCCGCCTGCTCTCCACTCTCACTCCTGCCCGCTCACAGGACTTCCACGTGCTCTTTATCGCAAACCCTCTGGCGAGTCTCACTCAGTCTAATTCTCTCAACCCAGCCACTCTTCTGCCTGTCTCTGGCCCCCTTCGGCCGCTTATTTGTGTCCTGAAATCCTTAAAAAATATAAACCTCCAGACTGGATTTAACTGATTCTCCTTTGTCAGATGCGTACTGGACTCTGTTTGTAGAGGGCAGCTCTTGCAAAGATGTGTGAGATCAGCAGAGGGCAGCCTAGGCCATTGTTACCATCAATCAGGTAATAGCAATGCCGATGCAGCCGCAAGGGCTCCCACAACTGACTCTGCTGCAGATGCAGCCCCTATTCTCTTTCTGTCCGTCCTCTCCATCACTCCGACTTAGTAGCCTAATGAACGCCCATTCCTGACTCCGCTCTTCTTCCACCCCTCCTTGAGTTTAAAAGTCTGACAAATATGTTCCTGTTGTCAAACCTGTGCTCACATGTGACCTCAAAGGGGAGTTCGCCCAGCTTCTTCTTTTGCAGTTTTCCAGCTGCATGGACACCCGGACATGATTGACCTCTCCCTACTGAGGCAACTGCCCTGGGAACACACAGACCATTACTTACCCAGTCCTGCCTCGGATCTCAACCACCAATCGACCTTCCCCACCACTGCATCCAGGAAACCAAGTCCTGCTCAAATCGCTTCAACCAAAACCACTGCAGCCTCCATGGACCGGTCCGCACATGGTCATTCTCTCCACACTTACAGCAGTGACACTTCTGGAAGACCCCTCCTGGCACCATCTATCACGGGTCAAACGTGCCCCCAAAGACAAATACTATGTATGTCATAACCTGGGTCCTACCAGGATGCACATTTCTTGTCAAAATCTCCCCTAGCTTAGTGTCTTGTGTATGGAAATTCAAAGTTAGGGAGACCTTTGTCTCAGGATCCATCGAGACTACCCACTAGGTGGGTACTGTGGAGTGTCCACAGGCTGGATGCACAGCACCCATCACTCTCACCCTAAGTCTTTCATCGATTACTAACCCTATGAACACTTTGTTTTGTTTCTTTTACCATCAAAACTTAGATCACTGCAAAAATACCTACAAAGAATATAGGGGTACCTGCCTGTTCCTAAGGAAAGAATGTTATTACTAGTAAAAGCGGGGGCTCCAACTCTCTGCTGACATGGTTTCAAAATCCTATAGTGTCATGGCTCCTCCCACTCTTAAGGCCAATATTAATAATAATCTTATTTTTTCTTTTCGCTCCTTGCCTCCTAAAATTCATACAGGCTCGCATTCGGGAAATGTCTCCTACCACCTTTAACCAACTCCTTCTCCACCCACATTCTCGCATCCCTGCAGAAGACCCTCATAACCAGGCCTGAGCCACCCCCTTGGTCTTTGCCCCCTTTCAGCAGGAAGTAGCCAAAGAATGAACCATCGCCCCTTTTCCTATCAACAAAAGGCTGGTATGAAAGGTCATGCGGGAGGCTGGAATGCAAAAACCCATCAGGTGGCCCACCTGGGAACAGGAATGCAGAAGCCTGCCTAGAGGATTCAGATAATGAACCTTCCCCCTCCCTACAATTTTTTTCCTGCTGTACAAACCCAGTCTCCCACCTGACCTCTCCTCACCCTATAAAAGCCTGCCTCCCCCTGACAACGTGCGCAGCTTCACTGACCCCCACCTTGGGTCCATGAGGTCCACCCGGGGAGCAATAAAATTTCCCTTCCTTTGAGAAATTTAGCCTGGCTCTCCTTTTCTTTACCGCACTGAACCTTTCAATGCGTATTTTAACAATGGTAGAAACTAGCCATAAACAAATGAGACTCTAGAAGGAGTCAGCTAAAGAATTCCTGACTTTTCAGGAATCTGCCCCATGCCCGGACCCTTGACAGACGACAGGAGTAGCATGGCTCCCAGCATAATAACATCTTTTTGAAAGGTTTTATTCTAGTAAAGTAAATATTTAAAGCTATAACCCACACAAAAAAATTATACATGGGATCCGTAATAATCTGAGAGACTATAGAGACATCCTGAGAGAAAAATGTTTGAGAATCGCTGACCCAGTTCCTGGGCCTGGATTCAGGGAGGCAACAGTGTCACAAAGGTCTTGGTGCAGGAGAGGAGGGGTGTCGGGGTGTGGCTCTCAAGGTCTCAGTCCCCAGCGCGCTGTCTGGGGCTGGAAGGTGACTGTCGGGCTTCCTCATCTCCCCAGTTTCACTTCTTCTCACAGCCTCTGTTGGGTCCTCCCTCCTGGATACTGGTGACTCACCCCAGGGCTCACTCCCCATTGCCTGGAGGTCTCCAGAGGTTTCCAATCAGCACCTGGGCGGCTCCCATTACAAAGTCCTCACCCACCTGCCAGGACTCCGTCTCCCCAGTCCTGGAAGAGGCCAGTCCTGGGGGATGGGGGGCGCAGCCCTCCTGCTCCTGCTCGCGGTGGCCGCGGCCCCGAGGGAGACCCGGGCGGGTGAGTGCGGGTCGGGAGGGGACAGGGCGCTCCCAGAGGCGGGAGCGAGGGCGCGGGCGGGCGTGGGAAAGGCGCGACCTCGCCGCCGCCCTAGTTGTCCCCCCACCTCGGCCCCGCCCCGTCCTGGCCCCTTTCCGTCCCCCGAGACCCCAGCCTCCTCTGGCCCCCCGAGTCCGGCCATTTCGTCCCGCAGCCGCTTTTCGGTCTCACTCGTCTTTCACCCACTTTCTGTCTCGTGGGCGCCCCCCGGGACTCGAGCCCCCGAAGGGGAGAAGAATAGCCCGGGTCTCCCCTCCCGCCCCCAGGCTCCCACTCCCTGAGGCTTTTCGCCACCGCGATGTCCCGGCCCGGCCTCGGGGAGCCCCGGTATATCTCCGTGGGCTACGTGGACGACACGCAGTTCGGGAGTTTCGACAGCGACTCTCCGGGCCAGAGCGCGGAGCCGCGGGCGCCCTGGGCGGAGCAGGTGCGGCAGGCGGACCAGGACGACTGGGACAGGAAGACGCAGATCACAAGGGAGCGCGTACTGTGGTACCGAGCGCAGCTGGACTCCCTGCGCGGCCTCTACAACCAGAGCGAGACCGGTGAGCTGGCGCGGGTCCGGGCCGGGTCAGCACCCCCATCCCCACGGACGGGGGTCGCTCAGGGTCTCCCCCTCCAGGCTTCTCTGCAACCGGCCCGGGAACAGCCCGCGGGACTTTCACCCCGTTTCATTCTGTTTAGTTTATTCCCGGCGGGGGTGGGCGCGGGCGGGGACAGGCTCTCACACCTTCCAGAGGATGTCTGGCTGTGACTTGGGGCCCGACGGACGCCTCCTCCGCGCGTACAGACAGTTCGCCTACGATGGCGCGGATTACCTGGCCCTGAACGAGGACCTGCGCTCCTGGACCGCGGTGGACATGGCTGCTCAGATCACCCGGCGCCAGTGGGAGGCCCAGGGTGAGGCAGAGAGATTCAGAGACTTTGTGAAGAACAAGTACTTGAGCTTGCTGCACACATTCCTGGAGTACGGGAAGGAGACTCTGCAGCGCACGGGTAAGAGGGGCCTGGAGGCCTCCCGGTCCCCCCCTGCCTGGAGTCACTGCGGGAAATGAGTCCTCTCTCTAGTCCCGAGAGGGGGGACTCCCCTGGGTTTCATGTTCTGCACTAGAGAGACCCCCAGAGACTCCTGCTTCTCCTGAAGGACAGTGAAGGGATCCCGTCTCTCCTGAGAAAGACAGACAGTCCCTGACCTCACACGTCACCGGGTCCTTTTGACCAGGGGCCTGTTTGAGAACCACGAGTTTCTCTCTCAGTCTTGTTTCTGGTCTGAGAACATTGTCAGTTATGTGATTCCTGCTTTTCTGTGTCGTTCACCTTCCACCCAGGTCAGGAATAAAAAGTCTGTGTTCCACTCCCTCTGCTTCATCCTACCCTGGGCTTTCCTCCTCATTCTAGAACTTTCTAAGGAATATGAGAATCGCACAGATTCCCCAGATTAGCCTGTTTTTTTACACTTTATGCTTCTTGCTGTTACAGGGCAAACCCCGATATAAAATGGGGTTTCCTGACTGTGGGTCCTCACCTGCACGCTTAAAGGGGACTTATGAATGCTAACTTGCAGACACACACAAGAGGTTGATGAAAGGTTTATTTACACAGGAAGGGGAAATGTGAAATGAATAACTCAGGGAGAAAAAGAGGGAGATAAGTTCGTAAACGTGACCTAACCGTTCTGCTGACCTGGGATCCCAGTGACCCACAGAGGTGGCGAAAACCTAGCACGCTTCATGGCCAAGCCAGAGACTCCCGGCCACATGACCAGTTAAATACCCAAACGGAGAGCCCAGTTGCTTAACTCCACTCTCGGGTCCTCCCAACCTTCCCTTTGGTGATCATGGGATTTGTAGTTCCCAGTGTCGTGGGGGTGGAGTCCACAAAGCCTGTATGGAGTTTGCTCAGGACATCCTTCACCCCTGTCATTCCTGCCACACCAGTTGTCTTGTCCATTGTGAGGATGGTCTCATGAGGATTCCTCAGTGTCCATGGTGGAAACACAAAGTGAGTTTTCTGATTTACCACCTCAGATCCCCCAAAGACACGCATGACCCACCACCCCTCCACTGAACATGAGGTCACCCTGAGGTGCTGGGCCCTGGACTTTTACCCTGCGGACATTGCCCTGACCTGGCAGCGAGATGGGGAGGACCTGACCCAGGAGATGGAGCTGGTGGAGACCAGGCCTGGAGGAGATGGAACCTTCCAGAAGTGGGCAGCTGTGGTGGTGCCTTCTGGAGAGGAGCAGAGATACATGTGCCACGTGCAGCATGAGGGGCTACTGGAGCCCCAAGTCCTGAGATGGGGTAAGGAGGAGAATGTGGGCACTGAGGCTGTTCTCAGGGCCATCAGGAGCCCTTCTGGAGACCTTCAGAGGGTCAGGATAAGGTCTAGGGCTCAGGGTTTGATCTTCCCTTCCCTTCCAGTGCCCCCGCAGTCCTCCATCCCCACCGTGGTCATCATTGCTGGCCTGGTTCTCCTTGGAGCTGTGGTGGCTGCAGCTGTGATGTGGAGGAAGAAACGCTCAGGTAGGGAAGGGACTGGGCAGATTTTGTCCACTGGGTCTTTCAAGTCCCAGGGAGAACTTGCCCTACCTGGTTAATGGGAAGTACCATCTACACATATTTATGGTGCCCAGAGGGCATTTGGTCCAGTCCCCCCTCACCTCCTTTCTTCATTTTTCCCAGTCCTGACCTGGGTCTTTACTCACAGTTCTGGAAACATTCCTGTTCTGCAGGACTAAAATATTCCTTTAGGTCTTCTGACCTGACTGCTCCCTGGTCTCACATGATGTTTCTTCCCACAGGAGGACAAGGAGGAAGCTACACTCAGGCTGCAGGTAAGTGTGGATCAGGGGTTTGATCCCTGAGCCCCTTGGGACAGTGTAAATGGACTCCATGGGGGAGTCACCCTCATCACTCCCTCCTGTGGTCTCATCTCTGACTGGTTCTGTTTTGTTCTCAACCAGGCAGCGACAGTGCCTAGGGCTCTGATGTGTCTCAGCCCCTAAAGCATCTTTTAAAAATGAATGTGATGAGGGGTCCTCCCTGGTGGCGCAGCGGGTTGAGCGCATCTCTGTGAAGGTGTCTGCAGCCTCCGCAGCGCTGGTTCGATTTCCAGCCAGTCTGGGAGAATCCCTCATGGTGAGGCAGAACTCTCTTGTCTCGCCCGCTGCTCTGCTTTCAGTCCATCTGCCTGTTCTGCTCCCCATTCTGTCTCTGGTGAATCATCTCACTTTTCCGCAACTGTGGCTTGTACCCCAGCTCTTGTATAAATAAAAAATTATTTTAAAATGCTGTTCACACCCTGAACAGTACATGGTATTGTGCAGAGTTTGCATTTTCAGTCTCTCCTAGGTGTGAAGGTTTCACTGTTCTTAACTGTGATATTGAGCATTTGTTCGTATTTTTACTTTTCTATGACTACAGTTGCTGTTTGTATGGAAGTTTTGTACATTTTTACAGATGAAGTGCTGTTCATTTATTACACTATTTTTGTCCTTATTAAAATTGGGTTATTTCTTTCTGATCATTGAGTTTTAGGCATTATTTGTAGATACAATCCTTTATCAGATTCGTGATTTGCAAATGTTTCCCCCAACTCTGTGACCTGAACTCCTTTACAGATGGGGAAACAAACACTATTGCCCAGACAGGAGCATGAATATATATATATATATATATATATATATATATATATATATATATATATATTTAGAAGAGAAAAGATAAATTGCTAACTGGTTTTGAGCAGATACTGGCTGACTGGGGTTTTGGGGGTGGAGGGGAATGAAAGGAAGCAAAAGCAAAAAGAAACCAATGAAATCGCATGAAACTAAAAAGCTTCTACATAGTGAAGGGAACTATGAAAAGAGAATATCAAATCAGAGAAACTATTTTCACATCATCAATCCAACAAGGAGTTAACATCCAAAACCCGCAAAGAACTTCAAAACAAGAAAACCCAATCAAAACAGGGGCAAAGGAACTAAATAGGTTACTTTTCTAAAGAAGACACACATGTGACCAACAGGTACATGGATAAATGTTTGTCATCATGTGCTGTCAGGAAAATGCCAAGTAAAACCACAATGAGTTACCACCTCACAGCTGTGAGAATGACCCATTGAAGGGTGTGGAGGAAAAGGAACTCTGGTACATGGTGGGTGGGGATGATGTCTGGTCCTATTAGTGGGCAGAATAAGGGGTTCCCTGGACCCTCAGAACTGCACACTCTACATGGCATCTTCCATACAAACATACAAACATCAGCTACATAAAGACAAAACATACTCTAAAGTGTAAGACCTTCAATAGAAAAGAACTTTAATACAATTAGTATAAAATAGAGAATCAGTGTGCAATAGAGAGAGAGAAGAATATAGTTAGAATAGTTCCCAAGTGAAGCACCCAAAGTTACTGTTTGGCTGGGTAAATGCCCAGCCAAACAGGCTTGGCCCAAAGTAGGCCCACTGGGGCCCGAAGGCCTGCCACAAGGCTAAGGCACCTACTGGCAGAGACCCATGGGACTGGGACAGGAGGGGCCAGGCAAGTTTGGAAGGACAAGAGCAAAGTCGAAATCCACATCAAGGTAACAGCTGCCACTGGCATCGTCCCCATGGGTCTCTCATCCACATTTTTGTCTCATTCCCGTGTCTCTCTCCATGTCCCCAACTCCCTGGCACAAGTCCAAGTGAGAAGCAAGTGTGATTTCTTCTTCACATGTCTTTCTGCACTATGCACCTCCTCCAGTCTTCTTTCCTCATCTTACTCCACATTTTCCTCCTCTTCCTTAGCTTCTCATCCCTGCTCATCTCCAACTTTCCTTGGGTGGGGCAGTAACCTAGAACCTTTCTTTTCTATGGATAGCACATTGGTCCTGCCCCTATGGGAAAAAAAAAAAAAAAAACAACGAAGGTTCCTCAAAATGGACCTGTCACATGGTCAAGCATCCCATTCCTTGGTATTTATCAAAAGAAGGTAAAACACTAATTTCAAGGAATATGCACCTCTCATGGTCACTGCAGCACTATCTACCATAACCAAGAGATGGAGACAACCTAAGTGGCCAACAGCAGATGAGGGGATAAAGAACACAAGCTGTATACACAATGAACAACTGTTCAGCTGTGAGAAAGAGGAAATATTGAATTTGCAACAAAATGGATAGATATGGATGGAATTATGCGAAGTGAAATAAGTTTGAAGAAGAAAGTTACATACTGGATGATTTCATTCATATTTGGAATCTAAAGAAATAAAGCAGGGACAGGTGAAACTAAACCAAAACATACTCTATATATATCACTGCATGTACTTCGGTCCTTCTGCCTGCTCTGCTCCCCGCTCTGGCTCTGGTGAATTCTCTCACCCTCCCACACTTCTGGCTGTACCCAGTGCTTGTATAAATAAATAAATAAATAAATCTTTCTTAAAAATTCTTAAAAATATAAGCTTTATATGTATGACTGCAGAATTGAAGCAATGGGCTGGGGGTAAGCATAGGAAACAAAGTAGGAAGAGGGCCCAATGGACTATGGTGAAGACTATGGGTGCTGTTAGGGTGGGTGTGATGTGGTAACAAACATCTGAAGAAGTGTGACCCTTGTCTCTGAACACATTCAGTGTGTAAGACAGTGTTACCTCAATTGAATAACACAATAAGGAAAAAAGTAAATTATCTCCTCCATCAGTCACTGTTTTTAGAACTTTGCCTTCTCCTCCTCACTGTCATGCAGGGTGAGGGGCTGGTTTCCCATATGGTCAGAGTCAGGAGGTGCAGGGACTTCTGGGGCTGCTTGGACCCCGCTGAGTAGACACTGCAGAGAGGGCGCCTCTGAGGGGACCAGAGACAGAGGGTCAGAGTAACCCCAGTGCTGCGTGAGGATCTGGTTCCCAAGGAGAGGAGAGAGAGAGAGAGAGAGAGAGAGAGAGAGAGAGTGTGAGTATGTGTGTAACAGGAGAGACAAGCTACACAACATAAGATGATGGGAAGTCAATTAACATCAAGCCCCAGAATAAATTAATTCAAATCTCACACAGAGGAAAGAGTGTCAGAACACCATCTCAATAAATACAGTTCCATGCAGAAGCAGCTTCTGAGCAGGACTGAAAAAGCATTGGACCTGTAGAAGAGGAAGAGATTTAGAAATATCTCATGGTTGGCTTGAGGTATAAGGAGCTGGGCAGGACCCCTAGCCCAGCCCTGGACCCTGCTAGGATGTGGTGGCCTCTTCACCCCTGACAGCTCCCTCCCCCAAACCCCAATGTTCATCTCCTTTGGAGTCACCTGTATATGTACATACATGTATATGTACATACATGTATATGTGTAATCCCAGCTTCTTCTTAATTTCCCACCTGTTTGGGGCATTTAGGTGGTTCCCATAGCTTGGCTACTGTAAATAGTGCTGCAGTGGTGACGGTGTTATAGAGCAACCCCGATATTAAACGGGTTCCTGGCTGTGGGTCCTCACCCGCGCGCTTTAAAGGGACTTATGAATACTCTACTACAGACACACACAAAAGGGTTAATAAAAGGTTTATTTACAAGAGAAAAGGAAATAAGGAAAATGTACAACTCAGGGAGAAAATAGGGAAATAAAGTCTTTAATGCGTCCTACCCGATCCGAGGACCTGGAAACCCAAAGTCACTCTCAGAGCTGGCCAGACAGGCTGTGAGCTGGCCGAGAGCCAAAAATGGGGATCCCCAAAGCCCACGTGTCTGCCTTTTATATCCACCTGGCTGCTTAACCCCACCCTCAGGTCCCAGCCACCTTCCCTTTGGTGGTGATGGGATTTGGAGTTCCCAGTGTCTTTGGCTTTGACCTGGGGTGGGGGTGGAGTCCACAAAGCCTATATGGAATTAGCTTTGGGACATCCTTTTCCCCCTAACAATTCCCCCCTTTCACTTTTTGCCACCATTTCCATGGTGATGAAGATCGAATATATGGAGGTTGGGATGCAGTCTCAGATGAACATTTTTTTAGGTTTCAGTGTGAAAGAAAACCAGTCTCTCCAGGTATTTGTCCATTGTGGAAAGCAAAAGTCCTCCACTCCAGGAAAAATAGTTCATCAGTTTAAGCTAAAAAAAAAAAAAATTTTTGAGGCATTAGCCAAAACAAGACAGCAGATATGTAAAAATCACAGGAAAAAAAAATTTTAAAATGGTTTAACTGATGTAAAACACAAATTTTTTCAACCTTGATCCCAAACTTTTAACAGCATAGCAAAAGTTTGCAAACTAAATCTACTTTTAAACCATTTTTTCTATTTTTGCATAAAATCACAGGGCAGAAAATAACTAACAGCAATTTTTAGTTGCTTTGTTGAAATACTCCATACAGGATCAGAGCGAACCAGTGGCATCCAGTCGATGTAGGCTTCAGGTATAAAGTTGGTCTCATCAGACTCCACCTGGGCTTTCCTCTTCTCGAGGGTATCAGGGCATTTTCGTTGGCCGGGTTGTCCAGTCCTGCCAATGGAGGCAACCTTCCTCACCTTCTTTGGAGGTCTCTGGAACCCTACAAACAAGGCAAACAGGTTCTCCTCTTCTTGGTTCAGCTCTTTTTTCAACTTTTTGGAAGAACTCCACACAAAGCCACACAATCAAACTCACGTCCAATTTTTTGTTAAAACAGACAAAAATCCCTATGGAAGTTATGCAAAAACAGACTCTAAGATAAGTAGCAAAAATTACTACCACTATTTGTATGCTGTGTTGGTATCAAGGGGAGAGAAAATGTGACAAGTTAGCTTTGCTGGAAAAAAAAAATTGCAACCTTGCTGCAGATCCTGGTTACTCAAAACAAAACAAAACAAAACAAAAACTTTGTGGATTCAGGACAGAATGCATAAAAATTATCAGTATTATGTGAAAGAAAACTTAGTAAATGTCAGGTGTATTTCCAGGTCTATTCAGTCCTTTGTAGGAAAGTTTTTTATTCTCAACAGTTCCATCAATGGAATCTGTTGAGACCTTTTCTCCCTATATTTCCAGAAACAATTCCTGTAGATGTGAAACAATTGAATTATACAATATTAAAAGGTGACAATCACCATTGACAATTTACATACATACCAGATACTGAGAGGTGTTTTATATATATATATATATATATATATATATATATATATATTATACACATTTTAGAAAACTACTGTTAACATTTTGTACATACCAAAGTTTTACCATTTTCCCAAGTGACAATGCTTCCCTTCCAGTTTTACTTCATTAGGTAAAAGCCAAATAGAACAAATTCATCTAATGCCTTCCCAGGAGGAAAGGGAGAAACTTTGTGGAGTGTCTCAGGAGCTCTACTGAGGTTCCACAAAATTTCCTTGTATCAGCCAAATGACAGGCCACCAAATTTGTACTTGAATTTAGATTTCTGGGAAGCTGTGCCATAAATATCAGAAAATTAACAGAAACAATATTCAATCTCTATGAAGGCACCGGCTTAGTTCAGTAGCACAATGTTGACAATCAAACCATAACTTTTTGTTTTTCTCATAACTGGAGACTTTTTTTTTTTTAACGTTTATGGGCACCATGTATACCAATTTGTCAATCACTGGAGT